CACTGTAGGGATAATCCGGGAATGTTGAAATGTGAACATGAAGGTCTAATTAAAAATGGTTAAACCTACCGATTTGATTTGAAACTGTCTCATTGCTGTTTATCAATAAAATTATGAATAAAAAAATGGTTAAAAACCTCACAAGCAATAATAACATTATTTATCCCTCTTTTTCCTGTTTTAGGCCCAATATGTACTAATTTCTCCTGAAGTAAGTATTTCTTGAAAGACCAAAGAAAGAAAAATGACGAAAGCATGCCCTTTCCCTGTTTTCCACTTTGACAGTTTTAGGGTGTGTTTGCAGATGCCCACTAACACAGTGTGTTTTACAGGTGAGCTCAAGGTTCGGGAGTGCCGTGATCTCTGTGAGGTCAAAGGAGATGGTGAGTGTGAGGCCTCATTACTGTGACATTTGTATATTTGAAAAAGGAACATCCAGGCAGAAGAAAAAAGGATACATAATGCCATCATTTCCTTGCTTCTGTTCCACCAGAACTAGAATGGTCATTATGTGTTTAGGTGGCTGAAAAGAAAATTCTAGAAATACTCTGTGACACAGAATTTACAAGGGGTTCAGAGCTCAGTGCCCAGGTAAGGTCTCAGTAGCGCCCAGCCGCCGTCACGATGGCTGCAGCTGCCACCCCCTGCAGGGAGCTTCAGGACATGCGTCCTGTAGTCTCACAGAGCCATTATCTGGCCCTTTAACAGCTGTATAGTAGTTTACTGCCTGTAAGAACCATATTTTAGTCCTTTAGTTCCTATTTTTGCAGATACTTAGGGTCTTTTAAAAAAAATTATAGATAATGCTGTAGTGAGCATTCTTGAACCTATATTTTTATTTTTTTTGCAAACAAATGTTCATTATTCTAGTTCAATCTTCACAAACATACTGTACAGAGTCTTATATGGTATAAAACAAAGGAAAACATCTCTGTCTATTCAATTTAACACAATACCAAAAGGAAGCTATTAAGACTTTGGGGGAATTCAAAGGTACAAGAAAACAAAACGGTTATTACTAATTCCTCAGCTTTGACC